TTTTGATTCACAGTCTCCTCACCGCAGGCAGGCACGGCACTCATTTGAGCATGTGTTTGTGTGTTCTGTTGGCTCTCTGCTTGTCACTCATTATGTGCCTTTAAATGAAAAAAGTGTGAAACTATCGTGCATTTTTATCGTGCAACAATTTTTGTCATCATCGTTATCGATGTTGTACCGTCGATAAATATCGATACCGTTTTATCGCCCAGGCCTAGTGTGTGTGTGTGTGTGTGTTCTGGCCAGTTTAACTCAGATGTGCTGCTAGATGTTTGTCAGCAGACAGACTCACATGAACTCCAGCTAGAACTGCAAAACACTCGAATCAACAGCAGATGTGCAGAATCCCTGCGCTCTTGAGTTCTTACTAGCATAACACTATTGACTTGATATTTGACAGGACAGCAGCAGAGAGTCTGACCAATCACAATGAAGCAGAGCTACAGCGACGGTGTGAAGAGAGACAACAGGAGATCGATCACATGCAACAGGTGCTGGAGACCAAGATCCAGATACTGCAGGAGGTACAACAGACACACACACACACACACACACATATACAGTACATGAGTGTGGTGATGATGGTGATGAACTCTCCGTGTGGCAGGAGGCTCAGTTAGCGCGGGACGAGGCCGAGCACAGGGCCAGCATGGCTGAATCTCACTCGCAGCATCCCTCTGTCACCATGGAAACGGTCCCCAAGGAGACATCAGGAGACACGAGCACATGGCCTGATGAAGATGCAGACAGAAGGAAGTGAGACGATCAGTCCATCTTGCTGAACACTCACACACTCTCACATGAGTGGTATTGATTGTGTTGTGTGTGTGTTGTGCAGGATCGAGCAGCTGAGCGCGGCGCTGTGCTGTAAGGAGCAGGTGATCAGAGAGCTGACGGAGGAGAGGACAGACCTGAGACAGAGAGTGAGACACATGGAGGAGCAGCTGGAGCAGCTGTCTGCCTCTCTGCTGCAGAAAGAGAGAGACGTGCAGGTCTGTCTGCACACACACACACACACACACACAGACACAGACAGACAGACAGACATACACACACACACACACACACACAGGTCTGTCTGCACTCATCAACACACCAAACTCAGTATCAGCGGATCGGACATCTGTCTTTGTGTGTTTGACGTCATGTGCCACGTCTTGGAAAACTCGTTTAAATGGAAAAACACTATGAAATCCAGTTTAGACCCACAGATGTATAAAAATTGTTTATTATAATTGTGTGGTTGTAATGAGTCTTTCTTTGTGTAGTTTTATCAGGAGGAGTTGGGCCGCGAAAGGCTCCGTGTGCAACAAGAGATGCAGGTACGTGTGATTCTCAGTTTCTCTGGTGCACTTATGGTCAGTGATGAATGTGTGACGCTTAATTTCAGGCTGATGAGGTGAAGAGAGACTAATAAGAGTGTGAAATAGTTTGTTGATCAGATTGGAACAGAAGCGTCATCTGTGTCAGAAGTCTTTTTTCATGAACCACAACACATTTTATGTTATACGGATGATCATGGAAATCTAAATGTCTTGGCTCAGGATCTGAGCTCCTTGAGCTAAATCTGATCTCTAGAGCACATTTAAAGGAACATGGACATATAGAAACTTTCTGCACGTTCCTCCTCCTTAGAATTAGAACTGAATTCCAAATGTAATGAAGCTGAATCCACTGGATTGACACTGGATGTAGGGCTGCACAATTAACCAAAATTAAATCACAAAGGCGATAAATCACGATTAGGCAGAAGCTGTGATTGTCACGCGTATCTTTCAGTGAAGCACGGTTCTGTGATCAGCAGTAAAGCTCCATCCGAAGGCCAGAGAAACTCCAAATACGCCTCGCAGAAGAAACCCAGGCAATCCCTATAGCGTTGCTGAATAAACAGAAGATTTTACTGCTTTCATTAATTTAACGTGACTAATAAACACACGACTATGACAATGTATGGTTTATCTGAGTTCGTCTTATTATAAATTTTATTATAATAAAGTATATAATAATGCAATGCTTTTATCACTGCTTAGAATACTATGAAATATGTTGCGTGCCTTATTCTGTGTAAGAAGCCACATCATCTCACAGAAGAATTGATTTCAAACACTCGTCTGACGTTATGAAGTGAGTTTGGAGTAAAAACATGTTATTAAATGTGGTATTTTCACGTGCTTTCAGATGGAGCAGCATTTACTACACAGAGCCGTAGTTCACTGACAAGCTACGCAAACAGCTGTCCTTATCGCAGAATGATTTCTTCGATTTCATTATCGCGCGATTATGAACGCCATTTTGCATAGCTTGTCAGTGAACTACAGTTCTGTGTAGTAAATGCTGCTTCATCTGAAAGCAGGTGATGGAGATTTACTACTAATCACAGAACCGGCATTACTAACGAGATGTGCATGACAATCACATTCGATTAATCGTGCAGCCCTAACTGGATGTTTTGTCTCATGAATCAGATTATGATTACTTTAAGTGATTTTACTGCATTGTTTTGAAAAATCTTTGATGTCTTCTGTAACCATTAGGACCGTCTTTGAAAATCACAATCGTTGTTCCCGTGGTAACGGGACAGGTGCACTGTGGGAATAATAGAGGCAGACATCTACAATACAAATAGGGCTGAACTATTGAATGCTGTTTTTAGTTCTGTTTGTCCTGACATAATGTGTTTTACCTGAGATCACAGCGCACTGAAACACACAATTACATATTAAATAGCATGAGTCACAAACAGACGATACACTCCCTCCTCAGAGAATCAGACGTCAGGGTTTCATGTGGTCTGTGTGTCTCAGAAACACGAGCAAACAGGGAGACTTCAGATGTGGTCACTATTGTGTGTGTGATGAACCGATGTTTTGTTCCTCAAATAGATCAGGATCACCACAGTCTAAATGTGTGTTTGCATAAACAACAACTGCAGCAGAGCAAACGCACATAATCACACAAGAGCAAAGTCACACAGAAACACAAGATCAGAGCCGCTGGAACCTGTTGAGTGAGAATGAAACCCTCAGGGTGAAAATACACACACACACACACACACACACACACACTCTCTCTCTCTCTCTCACACACACACACACACTCTCTCTCTCTCTCTCACACACACACACACACTCTCTCTCTCTCTCTCACACACACACACACACTCTCTCTCTCTCTCTCACACACACACACACACTCTCTCTCTCTCTCTCACACACACACACACACTCTCTCTCTCTCTCTCACACACACACACACACTCTCTCTCTCTCTCTCACACACACACACACACTCTCTCTCTCTCTCTCACACACACACACACACTCTCTCTCTCTCTCTCACACACACACACACACTCTCTCTCTCTCTCTCACACACACACACACACTCTCTCTCTCTCTCTCACACACACACACACACTCTCTCTCTCTCTCTCACACACACACACACACTCTCTCTCTCTCTCTCACACACACACACACACTCTCTCTCTCTCTCTCACACACACACACACACTCTCTCTCTCTCTCTCACACACACACACACACTCTCTCTCTCTCTCTCACACACACACACACACTCTCTCTCTCTCTCTCACACACACACACACACACACACTCTCACACACACACACACACACGCACTCTCACACACACGCACTCACACACACACGCACACTCTCACACACACGCATACACACACGCACTCTCTCGCACACACACACACACGCACTCTCACACACCCACACACATGCACTCTCACACACCCACACACACACTCACACACACAGACACACTCTCTCTCACACTCACACACACACACACACACACACACACACACCACACACACACACACGCACTCTCACACACACGCACTCACACACACACGCACACTCTCACACACACGCATACACACACGCACTCTCTCGCACACACACACACACGCACTCTCACACACCCACACACATGCACTCTCACACACCCACACACACACTCACACACACAGACACACTCTCTCTCACACACACACACACACACACACACACACTCAGACCTCAAAATCTATATTAGTGAACACATCAGTGGTTTCTGGATTAATTTTAAGGGTTATTTCATCCAAAAATATCAATTCTGTCATCATTTACTCATCTTTCTGTGGAACACAAAAGAAGATATTGTGAGAAATGTCTCAGTGTTATTTGTCCATATAATGAATATCAGTGGGCTCCAATGTTGTTTGGTTCCCAACATTCGTCAGAATAGTTTCTTTTTGTAGCGCAGAAGAAAGTCAGTCATACGGTTTGGAACGATGTGAGATTGAGTAAAGGTTTTTTGTCCCCTTTAATGATATTTACTAAACTCCTACAGATGATGGTGAAATTTAAAGCAGAACAGGATTTGGCTGATTTAGGGATGTGTGGCTCACAGGTCATGCTCAGGGTCAAGGGTCAAGGTTAGGGTCAGGTCATTGGTCAACATGTTTCATTAGTTATGCCATTTTGGCACTCATGGGTAAAGACACAAACAGCCTTCGTTAGTGCGGATTATTAATGCAGTAACCTGATTAGGCAGTATTAGTTTAAATGAATGTGGATTGTCAAAATATAAGAACAGGAAACATGCTTCCTACTAATATAAAAACATGTTTCTTCCTGAAATACATATTCGCATGAAGCGAACTGAGAGCTTTATCATTCCGATGCTGTAGTTCATAGTTGTCCTCATTGGTGACAGTAGTGGTGCTCGCACTCAGACCCGCTTCACTGCTCTCTATTCTGATCAGCGATACGGACAATACCCCGGAAACATTATATTCGACTGATTTCTGTTCTTTTTCTCGGCTTAGCATGTTCCAGTCGGTGTGTTGTTTAGTGTGGAGCGCGTTGCGGTGACTGAAGCACCCCTCCTGTGAGAGATGATGGTTCACGCCCGCGCTGCAGGTTTCGCGGCATCGCCTCCTTTTATCTTCATCTCATCACGCGACCGCACCAGCTCACCGGAGAGACTGCTGTATTTCTGTGATGCGCCTGTAGCGGCGGCTCTCGTCTGTTCCGGTGATGAAGGCTGACAGAGGACGCGTGTTCCGCACGACACAGAGCGCGAGCATCGAGGACGGCGGCGTTTGTGTCGTGTTTTTGACGCGATGTGAGCTGCATCAGGATTTCCGCTGGAGCTCGACGCGTCTCTGGATTATCAGTCATTTCTCCGATGCTTTCGTGGACTGTCATCTGTGAAAACACCCACACTGTCTCATCTATGGTGACTACGCTACGTTTATGTTTATGTGGTCCTTGATCTCACCTTAAATATATTAAGATATTATAATATCATTTTATGTTCAGACTTCTTGGATTTAACCACATAAGAACAGAAGGACCGTTACTGGTTGGAATACAAATCCTTTTCTTTTTTTATTTTTGAACCAAAGGTCAGCTGCGTGTGTCAAAGGGTTTCAGGATCCAGTGAGTAAATGAAGGAGGTGTGTCGCATCTGCGCGCGCGAGCTGTGCGGAAACCAGCGGCGATGGCTCTTTCATCCGGCCGCCAAACTCGACCTGCAGGCGCTGCTGTCTCACGCGCTGCGCCGCGGTCTGCAGCGGGACGGACGCGGCGAGTTCATCTGCAGCAAGTGCTGCTTCATGCTGGACCGCATGTTCCGCTTCGACACGGTGATCGCGCGCGTGGAGGCGCTGTCCCTCGAGCGGCTGCGCAGACTCCTGCAGGAGAAAGAGCGTCTGCGCCAGTGCATCAGTGCGCTTTATAACAAAAACAACGGGCAGGAGACATGGAGTGCGACGGAGGCCTCGTGTGCGGTGGACGTGTCCGAGTACTTCACCCTGCTGCAGGAGGACCTGATGTACTGCATGTACGAGTCCTGGGCGGAAGACGAGGAGCAGGTGTTGGAGTGTTGCCACGCGTCGGAGGTTTCCTCGTGTTGGCATCGCTCGCGCAGGTGCAGGGTCTGCAGGGCGTTGCGTGTGCCCGACTCTGACTACGAGGCCGTGTGTAAGGTGCCCAGGAAGCTGGCGAGGAGCCTCTCCTGCAGCCCGTCCACGCGTTACTCGGCCAGCGGCGTCGGAAGCGTGTGCGAGGAGGAGCAGACTTCAAACACACTGGTGCCCGAGACGCAGCGCACGGCATCACGCTCGTCAGACGGTGAGCGCACGCTCCGAGACCGCAGGAGCTCCGGCGGATCACTGGAGTCACTGGATAAAAGCCGCGGTGCTTCACCCGTCAAAGTTCCCCAGCGTGACGACCGAAGCTGCGACGCTGCATCTGATGCTCCTCCAGCGAGACTCGCTCTGGATCTGTCGCTGCTTCAGGACTGTGTGTACAGACCCGTCCAGAGTCCACGGGGAAGCAAACTGCCTGTTCTGATGAATCCTGGGTGTTTTAATGGAGGAGCTCAACTGGACAGTCCAGACCAGGAGAACCTGTTTGACGGAGCAAACCACATGCTGGTGGAGCCAGAGCCGCCCAGAGTCCAGCTGGACCCGGATCCGGAGCTGGCCTGTCTGGAGGAGCTGTGTCAGCAGGTGCAGGATGAGTACCTGCCCTTCCGCCTCCGGAGGGACCCACAGGTGAAGCGCCACTAACAGGACGGTCAGATCCTTATTCACTGGTCAGAGAAATGGATGCGTTCAGATGCCGCTCCCCGTGCGTCGTGTGTTTTGTGCCTGTAGCCGTTTACAAACACGAATGTCCCGTTCTCTTTTTGTCATGTTGCTCATTTTGCATATTTTGTCTGTGAGGTTCATGGTAATTTTAAAACATTTTAACATTTCTGGTGTTGCTTTTGTATGATATACAATTGTGGCATTGAATCGCTGAAGTAAAAAATAGTTTGAAAGCATCAAGCTGAAAAATCATCTGCAGATTGTGTTTGAGGGCATTCGGTCAATATTCTGACAGTTCTCTGTCTTTATTTACTGTAATTTGGTTTCAGCACATGATCTGCTTTTAAACAAAACCTGAACATGAACCAACACAAACCTCTTGATTCATTTTAGACCCTCAAATCTCAGACTGTTCCTGCTGGATATCAGCACTGTAAGAGCTGATGAAGGAAGTCAGTGTTAGAGCCGTACCATCATCCGATCAGTGATGTTTTGTCTTCTCACGTCTCTGTTATACTCTGTAGTTCTCACTGAAATCTCCTCTGTTAACCCAATGATAGCCATTTCAGTTAAATAGGTTAACATGGAGAACGTGGCACCACCATTGGCCTAGTTCTCTCACAAAACCTCCAAGGCAACACTCACAGGCTCACACGCACACACACACACACACACACACACACACACACAGACTCTCTCTCTGTCTCTCTCTCTCACACATAAACTCTCTCACACTCACACACACACACAGACTCTCTCTCTCTGTCTCTCTCACGCACACACACACACACACATACAACAGCGACATCTGACCTCAATGTACCTCAGTTGCTTCAGAACAAACGCAGTGACATGAAATGCAGTCCAGCAGCATTTAAACCTGATTAGGATCATTTACTGACAGGTTTTCTCTAACATGGATTTCAACACACATTTGATTAAATTCATTGATCAGAATTGGTGTTATTTATTCAGTGTCTGTGTCAATTGGCTGAGATTAGAAGCAAATAAAATCAGGGCTTATTTTTCCTAAAGCTTTATACAATAAATATGACAGGTTTCAATAGTATGATATTCATTTCTTCTGTTGTACATTAAAATGGTTTGATGTTTATTGTCTTTTAGAGTCTGATAGAAGAGCAGCATTCGCATCAGTACGAACGTGCCGCTGGACAGTGTGTGAATGAACTGCAGCAAGCGCAGCTACAGCTCGAGTCTCTGCAGAACCAGATCCACCAGAGCGAGACCAGCAACAAGGTGCATTACCCACAATTCCCCACAACCCACAAACTCTCATCATAACCTGTCTAACCTTAGTATAACTTATAATTAGAGCTTAATGGCCTATATATATATACTGTATATATTAGTGTTGTCAATCAATTAAAAAAATTAATCCTTCTCTTTTTTTGTAATTAATCACGATTAATCACATATCCCATAATATATGTAATATGTATATTGTCATAATTTGACATTGAATCTCCAAATTAATGTAGAAACAACAAATATTATGGTATATTTTAAATGTGTTTAATAGCATCTTTTTATTAAGTAGCCCATTATTAATGAAGGCCCGTATCAATGATAGCAATACTGCTACTGATGTCTCGATTAAATGTATTTTTCCCTTAATTTTAGCCGTTATTTATTGGCATTTAACGTTACAGTATTAGCCATTATTATTTTAACATAGGCTTTGAAAAATATAACAACTTTTAATTTAAGTGAACTTCACATAAACTATAAATTGTATATAAACTATAAATAGAATATAGATACATTTTTATTCAAGCTACAGAAGTTAATCAGTGAGCAGATCAGTGATTGATTTCTCTGTTTCTTTTGTTCTGTGATTCTTTATCCGTGACAGGCTGTTTTCATTTGTGTGTTTGTTTCTCGTGACTCAGGTGCTGCAGGAGAAACTGTGTGAGATGGAGTCAGAGCTCCGGTCCATCAGACAAGCTGCTCAGAACCAAGAGAGAACCATCCAGAACCTCACAGACAACCTGAGAACTAAAGACACAGAGGTCATTATATACACACACCACAGAAGCCACAGATGTGACGCCTTGTGTATGTGAATGTTTCCTTCTCGTAAACCTCACCGAGTAATGCAGTCATCGTGTGGATGGCGAGCAGATTCACAAAAACCTTCCTGAGAAAGAAGTTAAGGAGTTTCTTAAGATTCTGCAATTCTTAAAATAATAATAATAATAAAAATAAAAAAAATATATATTTTTTTTATATATAAAAAAAAAATTGTTGATGAAAATGGCAGGCTTAACATGTTATCTGATATGAAGAGCCTGTCTGGAGACGGCGCGATCTGTTGCGTTTAGCTTCTGTATCTGTGCTGTATAATTGACGTAATTATGAAGTATAAAAAACGAGTTCCTTGTCAGAGTTGTTAATGAACACGTAATCATGACCGATCATCGTTTACATGATCAGACATTCACTGGTGTCACAGTACAGAGCTTGTGCTCATCCATAGTAATAGTGATGCAATATTTAGCTAGTGTTTGATTTTGTTGCTTAATAATTGAAAAAGCCCAGTGTTTGTGTGTCTGTGTGTGTCTTTGTGTGTGTGTGTGTGTAGACTCAGGAGCTGTACCGTGTGATTGAGGGCCAGAACAACACGCTGGCCACAATCACAGAGACCCACCAGCAGCAGCTGCAACACACACAGGTGAACACACACACACACACACACACACACACACACACTCTCTCACACAATCACACACACACACACTCTCTCACACAATCACACACACACACACTCTCTCACACAATCACACACACACACACTCTCTCACACAATCACACACACACACACTCTCTCACACAATCACACACACACACACGCACTCTCTCACACAATCACACACACACACACACACACACACACACACTCTCACACAATCACACACACACACACACACACTCTCACACAATCACACACACACACACACACACTCTCACACAATCACACACACACACACACACACTCTCACACAATCACACACACACACACACACACACATGCTGTACTGTCTGAGCTGCAGGTGATGAGTGTTTCCCGCATGTCGTTTCTGTCTCTGTAGACTCCAGAGGGCGCTGTGGACTCGGGTTCGGTTCTGGGCTCACAGAGTTCTCTGTTCTGGTGTCAGCTGGAGTTGGAGGCGAGTCAGCGCGCTCACAGACTGACTCAGAGACATCTGGAGGATGAGACGCGCTCGCGAGACCGACTGCAGAACGAGCTGCAGGACGCGCTGCAGCACAGAGACGTTTCCCACAAACACAACCAGGTGTGACTCTCTGTGTGCCGCTTTACCTGCACGTTTAACCCAGCTAAACCTCACCGTTACAACCCATCTGTGGCGCTGCAGATGTGATAATGGGGTTTCCAGCACATCCAAGTGCTGCAGAAGTCATTGTTATTGGTATGTTTGTTCCTGTTTCACTTCCCACGGATGAGACGCTGCTTTCATGGGGAAAAGAAACACTTGGCCGTTTGCTTTTCTGAATAAGCATGTGACAGAAATATGATGACTTTTTTTACCCTGATGGCGGCAGTCTTTTTCTCTGTGAGCTCTGTGTGAGTGTAGATGGTTTTGTATTCATTTGTATTTGTTGTTTGGTCTTTTGTAGTAATACATACACATTCATATTTATTTCTAGAACAGCACGGGTTTCTCAGTGTGAAACCCGTATTGGTGATGTTTGTGAATAAAAACAAAATATGAATTGATATTATTATTTAATTTTTTTTGGGAAGAGAAAGCATGTAATGTCACTACTGCATGATGGCCCTCAGTCCTGTAAATATAACGTCAACAGAGTTTTGGAGCGGCACCCAACAGTAGAATTCTATTCAATTCAGATTTATTTGTAAAGTGCTTTTCACAATACACATCGTTTCAAAGCAGCTTTGCAGAACATGCATGTGTCTACATTACAATTTAGCATGATCTGTTATCAGAAGTGTAATGTTCATTTCACAAATTAATTAATGTTAGGCAGAAGCTCATTAAAGCGATTATTATCATCATGATTACAATATGGAGAAATTTTGGCAGCTGTGCATGTTGAGTCAAGTTAGAAGATGAGACAATAATCTGTTGGAAATAATCATTATTTCTGTGATTCTGATTGGTGTGTGATGTTTATCTGTTGGCAGGAGCTGCGTGAGATGGTTGAGCAGCTGCGGTCTGAGCTGCAGGTCAAACTGTGTGAGCGGAGAGATTGTGAAGCCTCGACTCGCTCAGAAATCACTGACCGGGACAAAACCATCGCACAGCTACAGCAGAGCTTATGCCGCAGAGACGCGCTGCTGCAGGTCACACACTCCTCCACTGTGATGAAGACACTTACAGGACCTTTCTTATAACTTTAACGGTGTTTTCCCTTCAGGAGTATTCAGAGCTGCTGAATGATTCGCCCGACTGCAGCGGCCGCGTGGAGAGAGACGCACTGCTGCACACACTGAGGACTCGCATCAGAGACAGAGACGCTGCGCTGGAGGTGTGCGTCCTCATGTGATCGATCCAGCATGCTGTCCTGTCTTGGTCTTGTAGCCCCGCCCACAGTGAAATTCTATTGGTCCAAAGTCTGAGCCAAGTAGCTCTAATTAAAATAAAATATGTTCTGATTGGCTGTGGTTTGGAATCATGGGAGCCTTTCGCTTTCAGTAAAGATGCTAAAATAAAGTCATTTTTACTCTGTTACAGTCCAACAGCCTCAGTGTTGCTGTATCATAGAGATCCACTCTTTACTAATTACTGGTGTCACGTGATAGTGATGCGATGAAACATCTGTCAGTCAGTGTTGGAGAAGAGTGTGTTTGTGCTCCAGACATGAATGATTCCTCAGATCATCATGCACCGTTTCCACCTGCTGGACCAGAAGACATGTGACAACATCCCACAGAAGCTCAATGAAAGAGGAACCAGAGCCACAATTACAGACCAGAAGATCACCAACTCTCTAGCTGATGCTGTAATCTTGGCGTTGTGTGTTTCAGCGCTCAATCGATGAGAAGTTCCACTGTCTGGAGGAGAAGGACGGTGAAGTGTGTCAACTGCAGCTGGTGCTCCGCGAGAAAGACCGAGACCTGGAGAGACTGCGCTGCGTCCTCAACAACAACAACGACACCATCACGGTGTGTGTCACCATCTGCTGTAGTGCACAGACTGTCTGCTTAAGCGTGATTAAACTCTCTGAAGTCTCTGTGTGTGTGTGTGTGAAGGGTTTAGATGCTCTGGTGCGCAGTAAGGATCTGGATCTGGAGAGAACACAGGAAAGCTGCCGGAAACTGGAGTGGATGAAACAGCAGAGCGATGAGAGACACACACTCGCTGTACAGGAGAGAGACGGCATCATTCATCAGCTGCAGACGGCGCTGGGCTCACACAGCAGAGAGAGCGAGGTAACACACGCTAGGCTACTGTCACACCTTACAAAACATCTGATCAGCTCATAAACACAAGCAGCAGGTGCGCTGATGTTCACATGACTGCATTCGGCAGACGCTTTTATCCTAAACATTCAGGGTGTGTGTTTTATCGGTTGCATTCTAAGCCACGCCGCTGCTGCCGTTACGCTGTACTGTTGGAGCTGCAGGAACACGAGTCTCAGTCTCAGATCTGCTGTCAGACTTTGTCTGTTTTAAAGCTTGTTTCCCGTGGACTGATATAAACATGCTCACAGACTTCTGAAGGTTACGTAAAAGCAGCCAATCAGATTAGAGCTTGTGATTTCAGTGGCTCGTGGTATTTCTGAGACACTGACACACACACCAAACACAAACATGCCTGCACATGCTTTGAACACACACAGACGTTCAGGCTGCTCGTGACTGTGTGTGTGTGAGTGTGACCAACCGTCAGTCTGTTCCTCTGTGTTTGCAGGAGCTCAGGTCAGTGTTGTTGGGAAAAGTGTCTGCCGCTGACGAGCTCCAGCAGCTGCAGTCTCACCTGTCGATGAAAGAGCGTCTGTTTCAGGAAGTGATGTCAGACCGCAGCCGGCAGGCGCAGGAACACCTCAGACAGATCACAGAGCTGCTCCACACCATCAGCACCAGAGATCAGGACATGAAGGTGCAGCTGATCATCTGTAACTCTTCTCTGTTTACTTGCTCATTTATTCCTCCTGGTTCACATGTTCTCTCCGCCGGTCTCAGGATTATGGCGAGAGGTTGGGCCGGGTGATTTCGGAGCGAGCGGGTCAGCTGCAGGAGCTGCGGAGGCAGCTGTCGTCACGGGAACAGGAGCTGAATGACAGGAACAGTGAGCGAGAGAGAGATGCTTCTGCGTCCAGAGAGCTGCAGAGACTTCAGGACGTTCTCAAGGAGAAAGACGCCTTCATGCAGGTCAAACACACACACTCTCTCAAATGTACCGCAGTAATGATGTTCTGTGTGTAAATGTACCGCGGTAGTGATGTTCTGTGTGTAAATGTACCCAGTAATGATGTTCTGTGTGCAGGAGTTACTGCGGGGGCCGAGCGAAATGTTGAGCTTCACACCAGCAGCAGCTCAGGGTGAGTTTCACCATGAAACATCCCACAGTAGATCAATTAAAATGATCGATTCTCCTCATTCTGAGTGTGTGTGTGTGTGTTTATGGTGAGCAGCTGCGTGCACGAGCAGCTCGGGTGATCTGGATGTACAAGCCATCAGAGATGAGCTACAGCTGACCCTCAAGAAACACGGAGAGACTGAGGTAAAACACACACGCACGCACACTCATATACACACATACACATACACACACACACACACTCATATACACACACACACATACACACACACGCACACACACACACTCATATACACACACACAT